GGGTTTGAATCCGGAAACGGATGGTCACTAAATGGTTAGGGTAACTAACCCTTCGTATCCGGAGGAAAGGAACCAGAAAATGGTGCGGCGGTAAGGGGTCCCGGGTTCGATTCCTGGAATATTGACCCCGAAAATTTGTATGAGAGTTTAACGATAGGTGTTCTAGATTGAACCAAACGGGTCAACAGCCCGTATATGCGTAGTTAATTATAGCTAAAACAAAATGGCTCATGTGGCACGTGGCAGGCCTTTGGAGAATGCACTTGCTGTGACCTAATTCACCATATCTAGCAGGTACCTTTACATGGGAACAAAATATGAGCTGCTAGGAAAAAAGACACAACAAATTACAAAAAATAAAACAGCTCATTTAATTCTAAATGAGAAAACACTTACTGTGGGTGGGTCTTCTGGTTGCCCTTGATCTCAAGCCTCGAGGCCGCTGTCACTGCGTTACAACTGCGTTACAAGGGTGTTACAAGTGAGCGAACGGTAGTAACGAACGTGCTTTTATCTTCTCGGTCGACTCCACTTCCATCTAGGCGGAGCACGCTTTCTCATTTGAGACAAAAATGACTCCACATATTTTATCCTCCTCCCCCCTCCCCCCCAGTACATGAGGAAAAAAATACGGATGGGATGGGAGGATGAACCGGCTAATTACTAACTAACAGAACAAAAAATGCGAGGATAAAGAAAAGGGTTTACTTCAACTTACTAATAATAATAATAATAATAAAATTTGATCTCCAATTACGCGCTATAAATGACTCTTTAGACTTTTGATATTAGTTCTCCAATTCCCCCCAAAGGTCCTGAGCCCTGCATGTCTTACCAGGTCGTCACTCCATCTAGTGGGGGTTCGCCCTACACTACGCGCCCTGGTGCCTACCGGTACGAGGCTGCTACTCGAGAACCTTTCTTCCCCATCGGTCATCGGTTCTTCGAGCTATATGGCCGGCCCATTGCCACTTCAGCTTACTAATCCGTTGGGCTATGTCCGTCACTCTGGTTTTACTCGGTTCATTTATGAGTCTATCACGCAGAGAAACTCCGAGCATAGCCCTCTCCATAGCTCGCTGAGCGACCTTGAGCGTCCTCATACGGCCAGCAGTGAAGGACCACGTCTCAGATCCGTAAGTCATCACTGGCAACACGCACTGGTTGTACACTTTAGTTTTCAGAGATTGAGGTATACCTGACGTGAAGATGTGTCGTAATTTCCCGAACGCTGCCCAGCCGAGTTGAATCCGTCGATTGAACTGTCGGTCGAAGTTGGACTTACCTAGTCGGACTATTTATCCCAGGTAAACGTACTCGTCAACAACTTCGAGCTTAGTGCTCCCAACAACTACCGGCATAGGTGTGACTTGAACATTAAAATGATCTTTGTTTTGTCCCTGTTCATCTTAAGACCTATCTCTTGGGAGACACCATTGAGGTCATTGAGCATAGTGCTAAGGTCCTCCAGCAATTCTGCCATAACGACTATATCGTCAGCAAATCGAAGGTGAGTGATGTACTCGCCATTGATGTTAATACCGTATCCTTTCCAGTCCAGTAGCTTGAAAACGTCTTCCAACACAGCGGTGAAGAGTTTCGGGGATATAACATCACCCTGTCTTACACCTCTCTGCAGTTGGATAGGTTTCGAACTCTGGTTCTGTACTCGGATAGCCATCGTAGCCGTACTGTACAAACACGTCAGCACTTCGATATACCGACCGTCAACTTGGCACCGCTGAAGGGACTGTAGCACCGCCCAAATTTCGACGGAATCAAAGGCTTTCTCATAGTCCACATACGTCAGGCAAAGTGGCAGATCGTACTCTTCGGTCTTCTGTACAATCTGCCGCAGGGTATATATGTGGTCTATGGTACGAAGCCTTTGAGGGAAAAAAGAGTTTACCTGTACTTACTACTTGGTCGCTATAATCATCATGATCCATTCATGATCAGTCTCCGTTGAGGCTGGCCGCCGTGACGGGAATTCGGTCTGGTAGACATTATTTTTTTTGGAAATGTGGTTTTTATTTTCCTTTTTTTTGCGCCTACCACTTTACCATGCCCATAGTTAACCTTTTATTTAAGGTGATAACAATAAGCAACAACAAATAAATAATTGAAAGTGGCATGTGACACGGTTTTCATTATTTGTAAAAATGCAGTCATCATGAAATTAATTATTTATAAAACGTGTAGATTTCATTGATATCTTAAAAGTTTTTAAGCTTCTTTAAATATCAATACATTCAAGGTTTTGGTTGGACATTTATCCGTCTCTATTGTGGTATCACTGTGAGACCGCTGGGAGCTTTAATCTTGACGTAATAGGAATTAAAGTGGGATTATCTTCTTGGGACTGAAACTCGAAAATAAACGTATTTTCATCGGGATTTATCGACCGCCCAACAGCAAAGTATTTAAGCTAAGTAGTTCCACGATGGTATCAGTGGAGAATTCCAAAGTTGCTCGTTTACGAAGGCGGAACGCCTGTACACGGGAATTTATGTGGAAAAGTCCAACTGATACCGAAACAAGTAAGTAAATTAACCCCAATGTAACCGCGCAACTAGTCAACTTTGCGAATGTTATTATTGTTACGTAGACAGAATTAATTAAGACAAACATCTCGGAGACCTTCTGAAATAACATACTGTTCGAGGCGCACACGGCAATTTGTAGAATTACAATACAAGAGACGTAGAAGGTTATCTGTTATGAAATGGATGCACATAAAACTTATTTATTATATTTACATAGTTTAAGTATAGTAATTTTAACACGATTAATTTCATTACTTACTATTATAAATATTTTACAACCCCGTACACGGGTAAGTCCTAAGGGACCTCAGTCTGGTATTAAATGAAATATTAAAATCACCTTGTGCACCCGAACGGACTGGGAACTTTCCCTTTCATATTTCTATCCTCATATGAAAATGCAGACATTCAAAATTAATAACTACGATGTTTATTCTGTTTATAATATTTAAAAAATGAACGATATGGCGTCACAAAATAATATGATCATTGAAATGTATTCCCAACGAACAGATTTCACAAAAAACAAATGTTTGCATTTCAACTGAATTTACATCCGAACAATGGCGCGATTAAATGCAAATTACTCTTAAAAATACTATTTTATTGCGACCAAAAACCCGCAAATAGACGACAGTGAAATGACCGTCATTTAAAAAAAAAACAGGAACATTTTTCGAAAAGGAGAACGTTAATTTAAAGTGCATAGATCTAAAAATTATTTTTTGCTTGAAAATGTACGCCGTTACAAATGCAATGATAATTATTGTTTGCTTTCGCATCTCATATTGCATTAAATATCGTATAATTACACATAAACGTCCTGATTGATATATGAACCGTCGTAAAGGATTATTGTTTAACCGCAACCGCGACACCGCGAAACCATCGACTGCGCAATTTCTGTCCGATACATACATAACTATTCAATTAGATAATTCAATTTAAACTTTATTTAGGTCTACAATACAACATCAAACATGATATTAATAGTTATATCACTTATTGAACTTAATATAACTTTATTTAACATATATATTGTCGTTTGCTTAATGAATATATATTTAATATATTAACAGAGGATATTCCTCTTTGATTGATGATTACATGATACCTTTTCTATGTGTTTCTGCAGTGTTTTTATTAAAGAGGAGGCAAATGAACATGCGACTCACCTGATGGTAAGTGTCGACCGCCGCTCATAAACAACTTTAACACAAAGGGAATTGATGTTGACGTTGCCGGTCTTTCAAAAAGGAGTAAATTCGTTTCTTGAAAGTCTCTAAGTCGTTTCGGTCAAAAATTGCCGATGAAAACTCCTAGTAAATCGTACAATTGATGAGCCCCCTGTAGCTAACTTCAAACAACGAAAGCTATAGAAACATTGTCACCTCTGAAGACTAACATGGAATGTCCCACAGCCCATACTTTGAGAGGCTTCCAACCGAAACATATCAGTGGAAGCACTGCTGTATGGCGGCAGAAATAAGTATCTACTCTGAAAAAACATGAGATTGATTTAAAAAGTTAAAATACCACCAATTCAAACATGAACTTCAAGAAGCCATAGATATGTTGACCATGACCTATATGAAATTCCTGATAGCCTATTATTACGCTGACTGTGTAACCCCCTCAAACCACAGCACAGCAGTATGTAAACTGCTGCTTGACCGTAGAAATATCATCTTCTGGTCATTTATACATGGTAGAGCCATGCTGTAGTTATATTAGTAGTATAGCTGAAGCACGAGTGGGTCGGCTCGCCCGGGGAAGGACCACACTCTTACAGAATACCAACGTAAAATAGTAGCTTAATGCTGCTTTGTTTCGTATGGTGAGTGTAGAGAACTGGAAACACTTTTTACTGGAAACGGGACATTCCATCTTAGTCTTCACTTGTGACAAAGTATCTGCATTTTGATTCATAATAGATGATAGATGTCGATGTCTAAGGGCCACAGCAAACACTTACGATCAAGTGGACTGTGTGCTCGTTTGTCACATCCTATTAAAAAAATTCCCGAATTAGGCCGACCTATTCGAACAGCAGTCTTAATACAGCTGCAGCGTGGTTCTACTACATTAAAATAATAGCAATAGTTTATTTAGTAGTTTTATTAATAGCCGAACGAATCGAAGAAGGTTCTCGAGTGTAACTCTTATTGGTATCAAGTATATAGGGTGACTTCGTAAGTATGAAGGAAGTCGACGAAGGTGGCTTAGAACCATGTTTTATGGCCTATGTTTACCAGTAGTCTTCAAGTATAGGTTGTAATGATTCTAATAAACAGTTTAAACACAGAATCCTCATCTTATGATATTTACCCTTGTATAATACAAAAATGTGTCATTTTTGCGAGTGACATTTTAAGATGTATTATCTCTATGCTAGTCAATCTAACATCCTTAGTCGCCATAACTAAGAAAGTTAATTCTCGTCCGTACTTTCAGTTGCCTGCGGCGGGCGGATATCATCAAAGTATTTGATGGCAGAGACACGACTGCGCCTACTATAGCTATGCTGTGTAACGAACTAACAGGTACAGTAAAATCTGAAACATTATCAATGACCATGACAATGATTTAGTATTATTTACGCATTATGTACGAAATATATTACAATTGTTTTATTGAAAGACACTTCAAGATCTTAGAATTTGTTTATACCTGCCCTAGTAGGGAATAGTGGACGAGGTTTTTATAACAGTGTAATGTGTACCACCCAGAAATGATTAGTGGGGAAAAGTGGAAGAAAACATTTAACAGAATCCATTTTGTCCCACCAATGGTACGGTTGGTGGAAAAATTGTGGAATAAGCCAATTTTAGCTCCGTCTAGGATTCGAACCTAGAGTTTCTCAAATGCTCTGACCATTTAACATAAGGTATGATGAAACCTTAGCCCCGGATGCGACGGAGTGACCTGAAGATGTACAAAGTGTTGTTGAGTTTTGGCTCATTTTGTTATTTATGGTGAGACCTTACCTCCGCACAGTGGCGGATTATCCTTAGGGAAAGCAAACTAGGTACGTACCTAGGGGCGCAACGTTTAAAAGAGGCGCGCGGAAGTTTTTAAACGAAAAAACATCGTCGTATTTGATTACTCCTGAATCGCTCTTATTATCTCATCACATTTTTAATTTACGTCATTATTACATTTTATGACCACTTGTTAAAAGTACTCGTATCCTAAATATTTGTAATTATTAAACTATTAAAAAAAGGAAAGCATAAATAAAATATATACTAATAAAGACTTTTAGTCTTTGGTATATTTTGTTAAAACATAAGCTTTCAAAGGTAAAATTTCAGTCACCTAGATATATTCTGAGGTTATTTTGGGAAAGGATGTGGTCCCTCGCAGTGCTCCGATGCATGTTGGTGGAATTTATTTCTTCGGATTTTTTTAAATTTCTCTCACGATGTTTTCTCTCACTTATGATCTTGTGGTAAATCAGTACTTGAAATTGCAATAAGCAATTTCGTTGGTGTTGGTCAGCGGGATCGAATCCTGGGATACTTACGCACTGTGAAATTTACATCAACAGCTTATTCCCTGAATTACCACGGCTCTAATATAAGCGTTAAGTTTACAAAAATCAATGTAAATATAACAAATAAAGCTTATTTACTTACGTACGAGGCAAATCATAGGTAAAATAGATACAAGAAGGCATCGTTCCGTGGGCGTATAATATCTCATCGTGACGTATATTAAGTGCTTCTCCGCCTGCTGTTACGGAGATTCCCGAGAGAAAAATATAGAAAGTAAGCCCAAATAAAAACACAAAGTACAATATATAACCTTGACACAATATGACACATTAACGCTAAGATACCTACATGGTAAAATTAAAATTGCTAAATAAGTTGAAATATGTTAAAAAATGCTATTAAAAATTCGGTATCGATGGAACATTGCTCGAAATGAATGATGAAATCCATTCAGGCAAGTTAATAATAAATTATGGAATTATTTTTAGATGAGATTGTGTGTGTGTTTGATTTCCCTATGATAAAATAAAAACAAACGTATATCTTGTTAAGTAACGTACGAAATGCAATAAAACCTTTATGCTAAAGTTTTGAGGTTGTGAAAATATTTGCACAAATCTGTACATCTACAGTACAGTACAGTACAGATTTTTTCAGAGAACGCTTCAGTACCATAGACCACAGACATACCCTCCAGTAGATCATAGTACAGAAGACAGAAGAGTACAATCTGCCACTTTGCCTGTTGTATGTAGACAATGAGAAAGCCTTTTATTCCGTCGAAATTTGTGCAAATATTTTACATTATTTATCAAATACTATTGTAATTGTATATAAATAAATCATTATCCCTATTTAGGATATACGTAGAAAGACAAAGGAAACTGACTAATCACAGTGGATCAACATGCTGAAATAGCAATAAGCCGGCCATAAAGCCTGAAAAAATGACAACCGATGTGGGAGAAAAGTTTTCGAGAAAAGATTCGAGTAGCAGTTTCCTGCTGCTAAGTGTAATTTAAGGCAACACGTACTAGATGTAGTGACGATCTGAAGAAACCTGTAGGGAGTTAATGGATACACTAAGCTAGCACCGTACTTTGAGGCATTCTATGTGGAAGGCCTACGTTCCGTTTCGTGTGGCTAAAATACTAAAAAATCTGAACACGAGACTCTAGGTCTTACAACACTAATGTAGAAAATACTTTCTCACTCTGGCCTTAAACAAATATTATGATCTATCACTTTGAAAATTTAATGCGCTTCCATATTCAGCTTTATATAAAACTTCTTCAACAGGAATTCTATTATACTTATTTTCTACTAATATGTCTTTTTAAAAGATCGTCAGAAAACCTGCATGTTTGAAAAATAAGAAAATTTTTTTTAAAGACGTGTGAATTTCGTAAACACAAATTGGGACATTTCTTTGCCCTAAAACTATCAGAAATGAGAGAAGGCTGTACCTATCAGTGGGACGTATATAGGCTTTAACTTTAACTTTTAAGTCTTTTTTGCACCAAAGCATAGAATTACGTGTTTTTTTAATCTACTAAAGTGACAAACGAAGTTATAGTTCGCCTGATAGTATGTGTCACAATGTCACCTTTAGGTAGGTACGTCCTTTTTGCACCAAAGCATAGAATTGCGTGTTTTTTTTTTTAATCTACGAAAGTGACAAACGAACTTACAGTTCGCCTGATGGTATGTGTCACAATGTCATCTTTAGGTAGGTACGACATTTTTGCACCAAAGCATAGAATTGCGTGTTTTTTTTTAATCTACAAAAGTGACAAACGAACTTACAGTTCGCCTGATGGTATGTGTCACAATGTCATCTTTAGGTAGGTACGTCCTTTTTGCACCAAAGCATAGAATTGCGTGTTTTTTTAATCTACTAAAGTGACAAACGAACTTACAGTTCGCCTGATGGTATGTGTCACAATGGGTGCGTTTGGCAGAAAAAAGCGCTAGCAAGCGCTTGTAAGTAAAATGGCGATCGTAAGCGGTAAGCGCTGTCAAATCGTAAGTAGCTATTTTCCTCTAGGACACAATGTTAGTTTTAATCGGGGAACCTAAACTAATTTAAATATATGTTTGTGAAGAATTCATATTAAAAACTTACCAACCATGAATTTTTAATAACATGTATATGTCTATTCATGTCATTATATTACTAAAAATAATATTGCAAAAAAAACAACTTATAAACTCTACTTCAAAACAAACAAATTAAATAAGCAAAATGGCGGATTGTGTCAGCGCTACTGAAGTAGCAATCGTATCCTGGGCGAAAACTATTTTAGCGCTAGTAAGCGCTTGCTAGCGCTTTTTTCTGCCAAACGCACCCCATGTCACCTTTAGGTAGGTACGTCCTTTTTGCACCAAAGCATAGAATTGCGTGTTTTTTTAAATCTACTAAAGTGACAAACGAACTTACAGTTCGCCTGATGGTGTATCACAATGTCACCTTTAGGTAGGTACGTCCTTTTTGCGCCAAAGCATAGAATTGCGTGTTTTTTTAAATCTACTAAAGTGACAAACGAACTTACAGTTCGCCTGATGGTATGTGTCACAATGTCACCTTTAGGTAGGTACGTCCTTTTTGCACCAAAGCATAGAATTGCGTGTTTTTTTTAATCTACAAAAGTGACAAATGAACTTACAGTTCGCCTGATGGTATGTGTCACAATGTCACCTTTAGGTAGGTACGTCGTTTTTGCACCAAAGCATAGAATTGCGTGTTTTTATAAATCTACTAAAGTGACAAACGAACTTACAGTTCGCCTGATGGTAGGGCTCACAATGTCACCTTTCGGTAGGTACGTCCTTTTTGCACCAAAGCATAGAATTGCGTGTTTTTTTAATCTACTAAAGTGACAAACGAACTTACAGTTCGCCTGATGGTGTGTCACACTGTCACCTTTAGGTAGGTACGTTCTTTTTGCTCCAAAGCATAGAATTTCGTGTTTTTTTAATCTACTAAAGTGACAAACGAACTTACAGTTCGCCTGATGGTATGTGTCACAATGTCACCTTTAGGTAGGTACGTCCTTTTTGCACCAAAGCATAGAATTTCGTGTTTTTTTAATCTACTAAAGTGACAAACGAATTTACAGTTCACCTGATAGTATGTGTCACAACGTCACCTTTAGGTAGGTACGTCCTTTTTGCACCAAAGCATAGATTTGCGTGTTTTTTTAATATACTAAAGTGACAAACGAACATACAATTCGCCTGATGGTATGTGTCACAATGTCACCTTTAGGTAGGTACGTCCTTTTTGCACCAAAACATAGAATTGCGTGTTTTTTTTAATCTACAAAAGTGACAAACGAACTTACAGTTCGCCTGATGGTATGTGTCACAATGTCACCTTTAGGTAGGTACGTCCTTTTTGCACCAAAGCATAGAATTGCGTGTTTTTTTAAATCTACTAAAGTGACAAACGAACTTACAGTTCGCCTGATGGTATGTGTCACAATGTCACCTTTAGGTAGGTACGTCCTTTTTGCACCAAAGCATAGAATTGCGTGTTTTTTTAATCTACTAAAGTGACAAACGAACTTACAGTTCGCCTGATGGTGTGTCACAATGTCACCTTTAGGTAGTTACGTTCTTTTTGCGCCAAAGCATAGAATTGCGTGTTTTTTTTAATCTACTAAAGTGACAAACGAACTTAAAGTTCGCCTGATGGTTTGTCACAATGTCTCCTTTAGGTAGTTACGTCCTTTTTGCACCAAAGCATAGAATTGCGTGTTTTTTTAATCTACTAAAGTGACAAACGAACTTACAGTTCGCCTGATGGTGTGTCACAATGTCACCTTTAGGTAGGTACGTCCTTTTTGCACCAAAGCATAGAATTGCATGTTTTTTTAATCTACTAAAGTGACAAACGAACTTACAGTTCGCCTGATGGTGTGTCACAATGTCACCTTTAGGTATAGAGAGTGTGAAGGTGTGAATATACTCCGGAACACCAAAAAAATATAGATAATGATTTCTTAAATTTACGCGAAAACTACACATTGAATAAAACTAAATTT